GTTGTGACTGCTGTGTTGAAAATAGACTTAGGAAGGGTCCAGAGTTGAAGCAGCAAGACCAGTTAGGAGGCTATTGTAATAATCCAAATGAGAAATGCAAAGTCAGACTTTGATCAGGGTGGTGATAGCAGAGGTGGTAAGAAGTTGGATTTTGGATGTATTTCAAGGATAGAGCCAATAGGATTTCATGACAGATTGGATGTGGGTGGTGAGCAAGAATCAAAGATGACTTCAAGATTTTGGGTCCAACCAAATAGAAAGATGGAATTGCCATTATCTGAACTGGGGAAGAATGTGGGAAGAACAGGTCAAGGGAGAAGACTAAGAGTTTGGTTTTGGATACATTGAGATCAAAGAGGGGGATGTCGGTTTTCAAAATTTCTGAAGTGGAATCATTCTTAATGATCATAACACTCAGGGTGTGACCCTGGGGGTGGGTATCTAAAAGTGGAATAAAGGGAAGTCATTATGATCAAAGAATTTAGAACTCTGGAGGTTGAAAGGCCAATGAAAGCTCTAGGATGGTCACCTAGAATGGTAGCCCAGACAGGAGAGGAGGGGACAGGGCCAGTCTTCTCTCACCATTATGATGCTGAGTTAGAATATAAGTGGTTAGAAGTCACACAGATATTGCTTTGAGATGTGCAGAATTTGAATTGGGTTTAGATTTTGAACCTAAAACATTAGAAATAAGCAAGGTAGCAAAATGATTGTGTTTGCTAAATCAAACCAGAAAACATAATGATAAAGCTGTTTGGAACATATCCAGATGAGATTGATTTATAACCCCACTGTAACATGGATCCAAAATAGTGAATCGAAAAAGAAATTCAACGAATTCTCATGATTTAATCTTAATTATTTTATTAAAAATTGTTTTTGGAAAGACATTTATACTTGGTTTGTTTAAAGCTTACTGACATCATTTATATCAATTCATATAGCATTTTAGAAACCATGGCCCTGTCACATTTTAGGAAAATTTTCTAATAGCCACAAGAAGTACGCTCAGTCCCATTTGCAAGCCATGTTTCCAAACTCAGTTCTTTAACCATAATTAAGAAGAGAGAGTAGGATGACCAGTCAGTCCTCCATAGCAGTTATAATAAACCTCTAAATTCAGAAACAAATATTTGATAAAGACTTTTAAAATATCATACCTGTGGGGTGCCTGGATGGCTCAGTCGGTTAAGCGTCTGACTCTTGGTTTCGGCTCAGGTCATCATCTCATGGATCGTGGGTTTGAGCCCTGCATCAGGCTGCATGTTGTCAGTGTGGAGCCTGTTTGAGATTCTCTCTCCCTCTCTCTCTGGCCCTCCCCTACTTGTTCTGTCTGTCTGTCTCTCTCTCAAAATAAATAAATAAACTTAAAAAAATATATCATACCTATGATTCATGAGTTCAAGCCCTGCACTAGGCTCTCTGCTATCAGCACAGAACTTGCTTTGGATCCTCTGTCTCCCTCTCTCTCTGCTCCTCCCCCCACTCACACTCTGTCTCTCTCTCTCTCTCTCCTTCAAAACTAGATAAACATTAAAAATTCATATATCAAACCTGTGAGCTGGTGGATGTCACTTAAGCATCAGAATTCATTAAAGAGTATTAAAATTATAATCCAGGTTTATACAAATACAGATGGATATTTATCTTTGTATTGAGACTTACTCGAGAATAGAAACATCAAGAAAGTTCTTGTCTTTACCAATTAATAAATGAAGAGAAAAGATAATGAGATAGCTATACAATCCTTTTAAAAAAAAAAAAAACCCACCTTGTTTCTGAGTGCTAGTAACACAGTCTAAGCTTTTATCTCTTCATAAACGCAACATAGGTAATCTCAAAGGGACTAGATATTTATAATTAAGTATATAATATTTAAATTGTCTTGTTTTGTGGAAAGTATGTGTTTGTGGGTGATTAAAAGATTCAGCATGTGTGGGTTTCATATTTTAGTTCAACAGTAAAATATAAGTGACATTGGTGCTTGAATTCTTATTCAAGTAGCAAAGACATTCCTCAGACATACATAATTCATCTGCTGAATAGATGATTTCACCTTTCAGTAACTTCACAGGTGTTAACTTTGCCAAACAAAATAGGTAAACCATCTTCCATTCATTTTTTTTCTGATTCAAGTTTTAAGTAAAAATTTTTTACAAAAAATATAAAAATATACATATGTAAGTCCATAACGTCCATTTAGAAAATGAATTTGCATCAACTTCTGAGATGTGAGGATTATGTAATGTATATTTTGTCAAAAAATAACTAAATTGAGCTCCTCCTAACTAAATCAGGAGGGAGGGGATTCTAAATCAGGGTTTCATGCAGTACTGAATTACACAAAGAAGATCTGATTGTAGAGCGGTGTTCAAATAAAATGGTCCCAGAAAAGAATGAAGAAAGAAACCTCCCCAAACCCATCCGTGATCTGAACAATACAGACATGTGTGACTATGAAACTTGGGCAGCTGCTTGGTAAGGACGTCAGCATCATATATTCATGGCCCATGCTTATGTGTAGCCATGGGGAAGAATAGCCTCAGTTATTGGACTTCAAAGAGTCTACCAGTGGTTGTACCACTGCCTAGGCGTTTGACTGAACCAAATAGCTAGTCCCAGGTCAGCGGTGGCCCCTTTTCTAAAGCAGTGCCAGCACTGGTCTCCTTATTAATTAATAAATGCATCATGAAGCTGATGGTTAACACTGTTCTTACTTTTGCAGTCAATATTCACCCCATAATTCCCCTTCTTCTGGGAAGAGCCAAAGAAACTAATGAAGATTACTGTCCATAAGTCTATAATTTGAAAACATGATGACATGAGTGGATAGATAGGATAGGGGCTAGATTTTAAATCTGTATACAGGAGGCTTAAGGTAAACAAAATTGATGTGTATATGTGTAGCTCTCTTCCTAAGTGATGAAAGTAGTATTTTAAGAAATAGGTCTGAAAGTAATATGCAGAATGTATTAGGACAGGAAAAAATTGGTGATACAGAGAGCTAAATGTTACACCAAAAATCTAAAAATTAATACTTTTGCATCACCTTAGAATTTTCAAGAGAGTTTGGCACATACCTCATTTGCTCTTTGCAGTAATTTGTGGGGTGGCTATGAAGGATAATATTATCTACACAGATGAGGAAACAGGAAGCTAGAGTAAATGACTTGCCCAAAGTCATGCAGCTGTGATTGGCACAGCCAGGATTCCCATCTGTCACACCACCTGTCTCCATTTCCATCGCTCCTAACATGATTGTATCCTGGGTGCATGTAGTAGCAGGAATGGAGAGGGAGGGACCACGCATAAGGATTTTGAAATCCCAAGTGAAAGAAATTGGCAATTGATTGGGTATAGGTGATAAATAGAGGAAAAGGTGATTTGTAGGTTTCTAAAGCATGAAGACAGTGAGACTAATATCATCAGCTAATGTTAGCAACAAGCTTACTCTGTGCCAGGTCCTGTGCCACACTTTGCTTTATTACCTCAATGAATTCTCACCACTCTTTCGTGGGGGGAGAGGCATGTATTATTCTTGTCCCCATTTTATAAGGGGAATACATGAAACTTGTTCCCATTTTTAGAGGAAGAAAAACAATCAAGGTTTTTTCTACAAGACAGGGTAAAGCTCAACTGGACTTATTGGCCTATGATGTCTGTACTTGGGACCTGAGATTCAGGGCGATGGTTTGGTGTTTTTGTGTGTGTGGATGTAATTATGCCACTAGTCACGAAATAATCAAGCCGGGCCATTGTTAGTTACGATGTTTGCAAGTCTAGCACTGCCAAACTGTCTAATGCCTCTGAGTACTTTGCCTGTCGTTAAAGTAGGCTGCACTAAGTAGCTGGTTTTGCCTTGACTCTGGACTTTAGAGTGGCCAGCCAGGTAATCCAGGTACAAAGATAAGAATGCTTTGGGGCGCCTGGGTGGCTCGGTCGGTTAAGTGTCCGACTTCGGCTCAGGTCATGATCTCACGGTCTGTGAGTTCGAGCCCCACGTCGGGCTCTGGGCTGATGGCTCAGAGCCTGGAGCCTGCTTCCGATTCTGTGTCTCCCTCTCTCTCTGCCCCTCTCCCATTCATGCTCTGTCTCTCTCTGTCCCCAAAATAAATAAACATTTAAAAAAATTTTAAAAAAAAAAAACAAAGATAAGAATGCTTTCCTCCTCAGTTATTATTTTAAAATTAAAATATAACTAAGTATAATTATCAAGTGACTATTAATAGAAATATTGAATTTATGTAGAATACATTATTTAGACTAAAAGTCTTAAGTACAGTTACCTTACTTCTTAATTGTTATCAGTCACTGTCCAGAGTAAGCCTGGTTTTCCCCTTAGGTTAACCACTTCACACATTTTTACCTTGTCGTGAGCCTCTGTTGGTGCCCAGGGTATGTCTGAGACCCTGATTGGCCATACCTCCCTCTAATCTTTGAATTGTTCTGTAAACTCATTTAAAACTATTTGACAAAAGAGCCTTCTCAAAGTTCCTGCTTTCAGTCCTTGCTTCCTTTTTCTCTTTCAGTCAGTCAGAGAAAGGAAAAGCAATTGTATATATCAAATAAATAGTGTATGAAAAAAATCCCAAACCTTTTCCAAACGGTGGTTTACCAGCTCACTTCTAAAGGCTCCAAACTGTATCTCTTTAGGTATCTACCTGTTAGTTATTCATTCACTTGCCTGAATGTAGCAGTATCTTAGCAACCAGAAATTTCATGGAGAAATCTTAACTCTTCCCTAATACCACCTGTTTTTTAGAAGTTGGCCTTCTTTTAAAAGACTTGGAGTTATATAAGCAAGAAATGCCAGGATTTAGTTCCTTTAGAAAATAAATTTAAATAAATCATAACAATTTTTTACAGGGCTATAAAGAAGTGTCTTCCCAGTGGTCCTTCACTCTGAGGTTGCATTGGAGATTATACTGGTGGAGAAACTCTGTTCACTCCCAGAGCAAAGGGTCATGGCTGTAAGTGTCTTTCTTCCTGATTCGCTCTAGGATTGTGAAGATGTCCAGTCCCAACCTGAACATCGTGACCTTACTTGGCAGTTGTCTGACTTACAGTAGCATTTACCTCTTCGGGATTCAAGATCGAGATGCTTTTGCGGGAGGCTCAATGGAAACTCTGATTCAGGTGGGTTAAATCTTAAGTTTTTGTTTTGAGAAAAATGTTCAACTTTTGATATCTTTTTAAATCAGCGTCTCCTGTAGGTGGTGGTTACCTTTATCCTCTGAATGGGTACTCTCAGAGGTGATCATTGTATTGCTTAGTGAGGTCCACATCTGTCCCGTGCCCTGTGTGGACTGAAGCTTTGCAGAGTAGAATGTGGAGAACAATTAAGATCCCTCTCATGCCTCTTGCTTGTGTCCCTTTTCCCTGTAGATAAGACTATCCATGCTGTGCATTGGGACCTCCCTTGTGTTTGGCCCCATTCTGGGGAAGAGCTGGCGACTCTACAAGGTGTTTACCCAGAGGGTCCCGGACAAGAGAGTGGTGAGTAAGCAGCAAGTAGACACTACTTGATTACAAACAGCAACTTTATTATTGATTATTAGCTAGAGAAGTTTGTGTCAGATTAATGGGTCTGGCTCTTATATGACAATCTGTAGTTCCTGCTTCTCATTTCAAACCCTGGAGTGGTGTGGCCTCCTAAGTCCCCAAGCCTGGAAGGCCATGTGTCAGTGCTCTTGGGAGATAGGTCTTTGAACATAGTTCTGCTTCATATGCACCCCAAGCCATGGTACTGCTGGTACTGTGTGAGCTGGCCAACATCTGGCACCAGTGAGAGGGAGAACAAGATGCCCAGAGAGACTGTTGTTTGGCACAAGTGTGAGCTGAAAATGGAGTGAGGGAGAGTGATTACAGGGAAGCTGTAGCGAGTAAGGAGAGCTTTTTCCTTCACTGGAACCCAGGTCTTCTCCATGCCAAATGCCATTCTCTGCACTAAGAAGGATGGGCTTGGAGCAGTGAGCAAGAAAGAGGACACCCATTCAGCAGATAGAATCAACCCTAGAAGCTATGTGCGAGCCAAATGACCTAGATGTCCCTGACATCAGATGTCATCCTGACATTTCCCCATTTTGTCAGCTTCCCTGCCCAAACCTCAAAGCCTGATCATCAAACCCTTGGGCTATAGGCCCTACCCAGACCCAGTATATCACTCAGTTGGAGTTTACTTCTCTGCAATGATTTCTTTTTTTTGCAAACATTATTGAATCATGGTAAATACTTACGAAAAGCTCAGCTGTGAGTAACCATAATATGAAAAAAATTGCCTAAAGGACAAGAAATTCACCTGTCCCTCTAAAACACAGATTCCTTTTTATTTAAAAAATAGTTTTATTGAGGCATAATTGACATGCAATGAACTGCATATATTTAAACTATATGATTTGATAAGTTTTGACGTATGTATGCACTCATGAAATATTGCGTAAAATCTGCAGAAGTTTCCTCATGAATCTTTGATATCTCCCTCTCCTGTCCAATCCTTATATCCATTCCTATTCCTGGGCAACTATTGATTTGCTTTTTGTCACTATAGATTAGTTTGCATTTTTCCAAAATTTTATATAAATGGAATAATACAGTATGTACTCTTTTTTTTTTACCTGTTATAATTATTTTACTTTTACTTGGCATAATTGTTTTAAGATTCATACATATTATTGCATGCACCAGTGGTTCTATTTGTGTTATTGCTGAGTAATAGTCCAATGTGTAGACATACAGTTTGTTTATCCATTCATCTGTTGATAGATGTTTGGGGTTTTTTCCAGTTTTGGGCTATTAAAAGTAAATCTGCTATGAACATTGTTGTATAAGTCTTTGTGTAGGCATATGTTTTCATTTTTCTTGCTTAAAAACCTAAGAGTAGAATGGGTGGGTCATATGGTAAGTGTATTTTTAACTTTTCAAAAAATTGACTATTTCCCCAAATGGTTGTACCTATTACATTCCCACCAGCAGTGTATAAGAGTCCTTCATTTCTACATCCTTGCCAACATGTGACTTGGTTGTTCTTTGTAGTCATTCTAATACATGTGAATAGTAGTATCTCATTGTATTTTTAATTTGCATTTCCTTAATGCAATGTTGAGCATCTTTTCACATGGTTATTTGCTATCCATATGTCTTCTTTGGTGAAATATCTGTTCAAATCTTTTACCCATTTTTTAAAAACTTTAGTTGTTTGTTTTCTTATTATTGAGGGTTTTTTTTAATGTTTATTTTCAAGAGAGAGAACGCGGGCGCGTGCAAACTGGGGAGGGGCAGGGAGAGAGGGGGACAGAGGATGCGAAGCAGGCTCTGTGCTGACAGTAGAGAGCCCAATGCCGAGGGCTCAAACCCACATACTGAACCAAGAGATCTATACATAAGCTGAAGTCAGGTATAAACCGACTGAGCTACCCAGGCATCCTTTTATTATTGAGTTTTGAGAGTTCTTTTTATATTCTGGATACAATTCTGTCAGCAAATACATATGCTTTGCAAAGATTTTCTTCCAATTTTTTGTGTCCTTTTTTTCATTCACTTAAGAGTATCTTTCAAAGAAAAGACATTTCTAATTTTGATGATATCCAATTTACCAATTTGTTCTTTTATGGATCACGTTTTGGTATCAGATCTAAGAAATGTTTGCCTAACCTAAGGCCTCAAAAAGTTTCTCCTGTGTTTACTTCTAGAAGTTTTAGAGTTTTAGTTTTTACATTTAGGTATATGATCCATTTTGAGTTAATTTTGGAATATGGTGTGAATATGAATCAAAGTTAATTTTTTTGCATATTAATATGTTTATTCAAATCTAGGTCCTTTGAATTTCCATATGAATTTTTCACTTGGTTTGCCAGTTTCTGCCAATTTCTGCTGGGATTTTGATTGAGATGTATTGAATCTATAGAACAAATTGTGGAGAACTAACTTCTTAACAATGTTGTGTTTTTTAACCCATGAACACAGTATATTTCTTCATTTATTAAGGTCTTTTCTAATTTTTATCAATAATTTTTTATAGTTTTCAGTGAAGGTCTTTCACACCTTCTATAGGATTTACTCCTAAGTATTTTTTATGCTATTATATGTTATTGTTTTTTATTTCACTTCCTGATTTTTGTTGCTAATATATAGAAATACAACTGATTTTCATATGCTGATCTTCTTTGCTCCAACCTTCCTAAGCTATGTATTGCTCCCATTAGCTTTTTTGTAGATCTTTCAGATTTTCAACATAGATGATCATATCATCTATGAATAAAGACAGTTTCTTTCCAATCTTCTGTATGATGGCACTGTCTAGAAATACCAGTACAATGTTCAATAGAAGTGCTGAGTGCTAGGGTGCCTGGGTGGCTCAGTCAATTAAGTGTCTGACTCTTGATTTTGGCCCACCTCGGGCTCTGCACTGACAACCTGGAGCCTGCTTGGGATTCTCTGTCTCCCTCTCTCTCTGCCCCTTCCCCACTCATGCTCTTCCTCTCCCTCTCTCTCAAAATAAATAAACATTAAAAAAAAAAGAAAGAAAGAAATGCAGAGCACAGACAACCTTGAATTTTTCTTGACCTTATGGGGAAAGCATTCAGTATTTCAAAACTAAGTATGTTAGCTATAGATGTATTGTAGATTTCCTTTATCTAGTTGGGGAAGTTCCCTTCTATTCACATTTTTCTGGGTTTTAATAAAGGGTTTTAATAAAGAATTGATGTTGGGTTCTGTCAAATGCTTTTTCTGTGTCTATTGATCATATTTTTTTCAAATTGTTTTAGTTAATATGGTGAATTACATGAAATGATTTTAGGATCTCAAACCAATCCTGTATTCCTGAGACAAACTCCATTTGGTCATGATACATAATCCTCTTCTTATATTGTTGTCCTCCTCTTCATAAAATTTTGTTTATAATGTGTGTACTCATGTTCTTTTTTTTCTTTTTAAAATTTTTTGAAAGTTTATTTATTTTGAGAGAGAGAGAGAGAGTAGGAGAGGGCCAGAGAGAAAGAGAGAGAGAATTCCAAGCAGGCTCCAGCCCAATACAGGGCTTGAACTCTCAAACTGTGAAACCATGACTGGAGTTTAAACCAAGAGTCCAACACTTAACCGACTGAGCCACCCAGGTGCCCCTATACTCATGTTCTTAACGGGTGTTGTTCTGTAGCTTTATTTTTCTTATAAAATATTTTTCTGGCTTTGGTGTAGGGTAATACCAGCCTTATAGTATGAATTAGGAAGTTTACCCTCCTCTTCAGTTTTGGAAGAGTTTGTGCAAAATGCTATAATTGGCATTCACATATAGTATAAGTGTCTCTCAATAACATGCTTCCATTTCTCCCTCTCCTGATCTTTGTGTTGTTTTTACTTCTACATATGTTATAAGCCCCACACAATTGTTACTAATTTTGGTTTGAACAGTTATATTTTAAAGATATTTAAATAATTAAAATTAACACATACTTTTCCATGAAGGTGATATTTCCTTATATAGATCCATATTTTCATCTGGTATCATCTTCCTTTTGCTGTAAGAATATTAACATTCTCGTGCAGGTGTGCTAATGCTGAATTCTTTCAACTTCTGTTTGTCTGAAAAAGTCTTTATTTCCCCCTTTGTTTCAGAAGGCTGCTTTTGCTGGATATAGAATTATAGGTTGAGGCTTTCTTTTCTTCTTTCAGTATTTTGAAGTTTCACTCCACCGTCTTCTCACTTGGCCTTGTATCTGATAGGAAATCTGATGCCATCCTTATCTTTGTTCCTCTACACATACTGTGTCTTTTTTGCTGGTTGATTTGAAGATTTTTTTATTATCACTGGTTTTGAGCAGTTTGATGAAGCAACTGGTTTTTATCTTACAAACACCATGAATCATGTAACTGGTTGTACTTCCCTCTTTTCATTGGCTGTCAAAAACTCAGATCCATATTTCTGCCCCAATTCATGAAGGCTGTGTACTCTCCTCACCTGGCCTTTCATCCTAAGTCTCCATATTTTCTCTTTTCCCTGATATTTTTTCAATTTTTCATCTTGTTACAGTATATATACTTTATTAATTTTATTTCTCTAGTTACAAAAGTAACACATCCTCTTTGTAGTAAGTCAAATGATTCATATACATATAAAGAAAATGATAGTAATCTCTCTTCCACCACCCTTATCTTTTAATCGTATCCTCCAGGTTAGTGGTTGTTTACAGTTTTATGTGAAAACTTCCATATCTCTCTATATGCTCATATCAACATATATAGAAATAATAGTATGTTCATTTTATAAGTAAGACCCCTTAATCCATTGTGGGAAAGGCAGGATATGGAAAAAATAAGCAAATGAAGATGTTTAATGGTGAAGGTGGTGATATGGACATAATACCATAGCGCATCTTTAGTGTGTGTTTCATCTTTAATGGCTGGATAGGAAGCCCCCTGGGAGGGCTGACCCTGGAGCCTTTAGCTCAGAGCACATAGGGTACTCCAGTCCCTGTGTCGTATAGCCAGCAAGCAAAGGAAAATTATGACCTTGACTCTTTTGCAGATAATCAAAGACCTGCAGCTACTGGGGTTGGTGGCAGCCCTGGTGATAGCAGACGTGATCCTGCTTGTGACGTGGGTGCTGACTGATCCCATCCAGTGCCTCCAGATTCTCGGTGTCAGTATGACGGTGAGGGGCCCAATCGCTGGAGAATCTAGTTCCTGAGCTGGGAGGACTGGCTTCTGTGGGTACACTGGGGTCATCCTCCCAAGCAGTTAACATTAACAAGCAGTTAAATGACCCAAAAGGAGGGAGAATTAGGATCTGTGGCTGCTGTGAATGCCCTGCCCCTCGTCTGTAGTGTGTGCTGCCTCCCACTGCTCCTGCTCCACGTGTCTTCCAATGGCATCTACTGAGATGTTGGCACACTGGAACTGCCTGGCAGTTATCTCTGCTTTCACGTCCACATTATCAGTAGTGAGACTTTCAGCTACAGGAAGTTACCTTCCCCTAATTGTTGAGAAGTAAAGGTAGTATTTTGAGATGGTCTGTGGAGTCAGTGAGCCCTCATTCAAATCCCACCTACCAGCCATGTGACCTTGGGAAAGTCATTTAACCTCGCTAAGGCTCTATTTCCTCATAGGCAAAATGGTGATGATATTACTTCCTATTTCATAGGGCTGTGGTGAAGATTAAGTGAAACAATGCAGGTAAAGGGCTCAACTGTGCCTAGTACAGAGTGTTCAGTCAACAGGAAGTATTATATGTCTCCAGCCTCACAAGGGGTGAAGAATACAGTGGACTCTTGACATTGTAGATTTAATATTTACAGTTTCAACTGTTAACAAATAGCAGAAACATGATGTGAAATCCTTTGTAATTTTGCTGATACACCAGTTTGAGTCACTGTGGTAGCAAAGCATTAACTGGGGAGTAAACCCCACCACTACCAAGTATCCACATGTCAGCCAGACTTTATCGTCTTCTCCTTTAACCCATAGTCAACTTGCATTTGGATTCTAATGGAGTCACCTATATGTTAGAGTTTTTACATATTAAGGGGGAAATCATAGAAGTCACACTCCAGGATGTTCACAAAGATCTCCTGTGTGTTCCTGGTAATTGTGGGTTCCCTCAGTCCTGACTCTGTGTCCTTCCTAGGTGACAGGGAGAGACGTGTCCTGCTCTCTGACCAGCACACACTTCTGTGCTTCCCGGTACTCTGATGTCTGGATTGCTCTTGTTTTGGTATGCAAGGTTGGTAACCACATGTCCTTGGGATACACCCTGTCACAAACAAAATAGATGTGAAAAGGGAATCACAGGAATTAACAAGGTGATTTCTGCAAAGAATCTTGAACTCCAAGGAGACCTCTGTTGATATAAAATCATGACCCTTATCATTTCTCTACTTTTTATTTGTCTTGGGGTCACTTTTCCAACTCTATTTAGTCTCCCTCATTCAGTTTTCCCCAGATCATATGGAATACAACCACTGTTTCTCCCATTTCTTGGTCTGATTTTTTAATTGATTTAGCAATACCAGTTTTCTCCCCAACTCTCTGCAAGGGAAATTATGAGGAGACATTTTATCCAGCTTTATTTTTTCTCTTGAGTGCCCTCTTGAGTTGTTTTCAAGATTTGAGTCAAGGCATCCTGCTGCCTTCCACTGACCTTTCTCACTCTGACTGGAAGCAGAGCTGGCCCCTAAGACAGATGGCAACATCCGCGGTGTCCTTTAAGTGGTTCCAGCTGCCTCGAAGTGTCCCCAGACTGCCCTCGATTTCCCACATTAGCCTCATTTGTCTCTGTTAGATGGCAAAAGTAGGACGTTACTTCCACAGGTACAGAATACCTACACAGGACACTAAAGGAGGTTCTTAGAACCAACTATCCTAGTAACTGGTTTTCAGCCTGGAGAAACAGAGAATCTGGCTATGAGGGGTGTGGGCAGGCCTATTTCAAAGAACAGGGCAAGCCCTGAGTGGCAAGAGACTGCCTGTTGATTCTCAGGACAGAGAGGCCTGGTTGACCGATTGCTGGCAGAGGAGAAGAAACTTTTAAAGAAATATGTGGTCTTTAAAGGTAAACTCTACTCATTTTACCACTAGGAAAGCATTCAAGTGGTTGCTTCTGAGAAATGGGTCCGGGAATGGGCAGAGTTGGATAGGGAAATGTTGCTTTTTGATTATATGCACATATTACATTGATAGAAATGAGTTTTTTTATTTTTGGTTTTGTTTTGTTTTTGAGAGAGAGAGTGGGGGGGGAGGGGAAGGGTAGAGAGGAGAGAGAGAATCCCAAACAGGTTCCACCCACACTACCATCTTGGAGTTCTATGAGGGGCTCCATCCCACCAACTGTGGGATCATGACCTGAGCTGAAATCAAGAGTCATCTCTCAGACTGAGCCACCCAGGTGCCCCTGGTAGAAATATTTTTAAAAGAGAACACTGGAGGGTGCCTTGGTGGCTCAGTTGGTTGGGCTTCCAACTTAGGCTCAGGTCATGTTTTCACCGTTTGTGGTTTGAGCCCCACATGGGGCTCTGTGCTGACAGCTCAGAGCCTGGATCCTGCTTCTGATTCTGTGTCTCCCTCTCGCTGGCCCTCCCCTACTCATGCTCTGTCTCACTCTCTCAAAAATAAATAAACATTAAAAAATAAATAAAAGAGAACACTGAGACGTAAACAGTTCTTGATCTCTAGTTTCTTGCTAATAGTTAAGAAAATGAACTTCAGAATACGACTGAACAGGGTTTGAATTCTGACTCAATCCCTTCCTAGCTGACCCTGAACCTCATTTAACCTTTCCAAGTCTGGGTCCCCTCATACATAAAGTGGGGATGATGATAATATCCTCTCAGAACTGTTCAGAGTTTCAAAAGAGTTAGTGCATGATGAGAATGTTCAGCCGGGGCTGAACAGTGGTTTGAGGGTCTGACTTCAGCTCAGGTCATGATCTCACAAGTTTGTGGGTTCAAACCCCTCATCTGGCTCTCTCCTATCAGCACAGAGCCTGTTTCGGGTCCTCTGTCCCCCTCTCTCTCCGCCCCTCCCCTGCTTGCGCACACGTGCACACACACACACTCTCTCTCTCAAAAATAAATAAAAAACATTTTTAAAAAAGAGTTTTCAACCACTCCTGGCCCATGGGAACAGCTCAATAAATGATAGATACTATTATTATTAATCTTTCACTGCCCCCTGGACAGTTCTGAAAACACAGTGCCTCTCTCGATTCCTTGAGCCCCATAGAAGAACATGTCCTCCCCACAACAGAAACTCAGCACTTCCCCCACAGCAGCTCACTTTGTGACTCAACTTGATTTATTTTCTCCATTGCCTTTTATATAATCCCATTTCCATTTTATTTCACTGTAATATCTTTCTGAAGGACAAAGAAAGAAAAGGGGGAAATAGTGCTGAGCGTCAGGAAACTGACTGAGCCAGCCCTCCATGGGCTCCCTGGCCAATGAGCAGTTCCTGAGGATGACTTAAATCTTCACATCAAGTTTCAGGACCCCCTACCTGAGCCTGGCAACTACCCCCACCCCACTTCTCAGCAGTGAATGCCAATGACATCCAAGTTTTGGGTATGATTCACTCAAACACAAGTCATGGATGTAGAGAGGCTTTATTCATACCTCATTCCCTTATGGCAAGAGTTTTAATGGAATTAAAACATGTTAATAGATGAGATTTGAACATTTCAAAATCATAGAATTAATTTCATTTAATTTTGATTAAATTACTAATGATCCAATCTGCTAGATGCCACCTGATGGTATCCGTTACACAAAACCCAGGTCCCACTGGCCTGACTTATGTGTCCTCTGGTCATTGAAGATCTCAGGGTGACCATCTTTGGCCCTCAGGCCCCTTTTGAAACACAGGGCATTAGGGGCACCCAGAAGGCATCCCTGCCATTTTGAATCCTTCACTGTGGGCATAGCCAGTCCTCCAAAAAATTATCCTTAGGGCTGTCCTTGAAGATGGAGTTGGTCAGGTCGTGCGATTGCAGTCACTGGCAGGTACCTTGCTGATACCTGACCTTGCTTTCATTATTAGTTCTCCCTCTGAATATCGATACTTCCCACCCCCATCTCATTCCCCATGCCATCTTCACATTCTGTGTGACAAAACACGGACATTTAAATCTTTCTATCAGACTGCGCTTCTTGAAAGCCAAGACCATGATTTATTCCTCTTTGTAACACCTTTGGCTACCCTGCACCTAACATGATATTTTGCACATAGTCAGGAGAACATATGTTGAATCTATACATTATGTATTGCTGATTAAAGCTTTGATTTCTGTTTAAAATACAGCTCATTCTAGGAGAAACAACCCTTTAACGTGCTGTGAGTAATTTTCTGTGTAGTACAAATGAGAGATCTGAGAGCAGTTTTATATTCATGGGAAAGAGGAAAGAATAGGGCACTGGGTTCCTGGAGGGGGGAGGGGGCAGGGAATGTCACACAGAGGATGAAGGGTATAGATGAAACCTTTAGTGCCTGTGCCTGCTCCACAGTCTTGCTTAGGTCCCAGCCTGCCTTTGTTCTCTTCTTCCATCTCCCACAAACACCCACTGGCACAGAGCCGCTGCTAGCCTATAGAGATCCTTTGTGTAAATTAGAAAAAGGCATCCCTTCTAGACAGATGCAATCTTGCAGGTGCAGGGCTTGGCAAGCAGATGGTGCCTTTGGGAAAATTAGAAAAAAAAAAACAGTCCTCAGGGCACTGCCCCTGCCGTGGCACATGGCTTGACAAGCAGACCACAGGGCTATTTCAGCTGATACATGTCCCTCAGTTCCCTGTAGCACAGAACCACACAATTGATGTGGTAATCATCACCACCAACAGCACCATGTGCCCAGGGCCCTCCTAGTGCCCAGCAGCCTGTCCTGTGGGCTTCCTGTCGTGTGCCTTGTCCCAGCAGAGTCCTGTCCGATAGCTGACTTGCTGACCTCCAATAAACCAATTCTCACTGAAGAGGAGGAAAATAACATTTAGCACCTGCTAGTTGTGTAAGGGCTGCCTTAAAGGTCTTCCCATGTGCTATCCTACCTAGTATGTCTTCATAGCAACCCTTTGAAGTAGGTTTTATTATCCCTATTTTAGTAAAAGGTGAAAGATTTATGCGATCTGAAGAGAAACCAGAGCATTATCCCTATTTTAAAGGTGAGGAAGTTGGGCCCAACCCTACTGCTCTTTGACACCAAGCCTGTTATTCCACTCCTCTCAGCCCCTGGTTCTCTTCTCCATCTCCAGGGCCTGCTGCTGCTATATGGTGCCTACCTGGCTGGCCTGACTGACCACGTCAGCTCTCCTCCTGTGAATCAGTCTTTAACCATCATGGTTGGGGTCAACCTCGTAGTAGTGGCCGCTGGGCTTCTGTTTGTGGTCACCAGATACTTGCACTCCTGGCCCAACCTGGTCTTTGGACTCACATCTGGAGGTATCTTTGTTTGCACAACCACAATCAACTGCTTCATCTTCATTCCCCAGGTATGCTCTAAGGAGAATGTGGCAGGCCAGTCCTTGTTGTCATTCCAGAGGCTTCACTGGGCATGATAAACTGCTCACTTTGTTTTCTACTGACACTTTTGGGTACCATTTCTTGGAGAGTCAGAGGAGGGCAGATTCCCAGTGAGAGCTGGCTCTCTCTGTCTTTCCTTCCTTGCTCCCCTAAAGGGGACAGCTCTGCTGCCAGTCAGCAAGGAGGGCAGGCCCTAGGGGCTGGCAGCCACGGCAGCATGTGTCCACCCCTGACAGGCTGCCTCACGGACCTGCCTTTCCACTTAGCCTCCAGTCAACCTCACACTCATCTCCAGTCCCCTCTTCACCTTGGTAACGTCATTTCTTTCACTAGCCTGGAATGAGGAACCTTTCTTTCCTATCTGAGATTGCAGAATCACAGAGGAAAAACTCATTTGGGAATTTATGCAATTTAAAGTGCCTTTTCTTTCTTTTTATTAGAAGAAAATATGGATCATTTCTTTTTACAATAAGGAGAGATAAAAACTGAATAAAAATGTGTTTCATAGTATGGGGGCTAAGAAAAAATATTAAATGAGGGAGGAAGGTAGAAGCAGAAATATCCAGACAGCAAAGAGAAAGAAAAGGAGTCAGAGGGAAAGGAGAAGGAATTCATAGACTCTGAAAGCGATGTTAAATTATTCATGTTATGCCCTAGGGTACCACTGAGCCACATATATCTGAGTTAATGAACTTGGCATTAGGCACCTGTCCTGTTTCACTCTATATCTCCTTTTCTTCCCCCGGGGCCTATCTCATCCCTCTACTCCCTTTAGACCCTATCTTGATTCCCTTTGCAGCTTGAAGTTGACTATGAATGACTTCATGAGGGAGCTAACTGATAATTAAAGTGTTGGCTGAGGTAGAGTTACGACTGCACTTTGGGGCACGATGGTCCGACACAGGCATAGTCTTCTTCCCTTTCGTCAATTCTCATTAAAATATTCTGCAGAATAAACAAATACGGAAAATCTGTAGCAGCAGCACCAAAAACCAAGGATGGGTACTGCATCTGTACTAGAAACCAGGGGGATTTTTGCTGAATCTCTATGTTATAAGAACTAGATTGAAGGAAACCATGAGAGCTCCAGCTTATTTGTCTGGGATTTGGCAGAAAAGGGCTATGAAAAACAAGGGCTCTTCCCTTCTGGGAGATGGGGAAAGGAGAGTGGGCAGGCATCTTTTGTGTAGCCCACCCCTTAGGCTCTGTGGCCAGTGTTGTTGATTGGTAACCCATCCATCCATTGCTAACCCCTTTCTTCCTTGCTCACCTCCACTGTATAGGCTGAAAGAGCTCAACACTTGCTTTGCCAACCTCCCTTATAACTAGTGGTACACATGTAATACCATTTTGAACAGTAAAGGTTTTCTGGAAGGCTTTTGAGAATGCTTTTGCTTTCCTAAAAAAGCCAGAGGCATGGCTGGCATCACCTATTCTACTTTCTTCCTACCTTGAATGTTTGTGATGTCTGGAGCTATGGCAGCCATTTTGTGACCATGAGTGAAAAGCAAAGAGAATATATATACTGTACTAGGAAACTATAGCTCTTCTCATGTAAGACTATAAATTTAGGAGGAAAGGACCTATGAAGAGATTCTGCGGTTCACAAGAACGGGACTACAAACTTCTGAAGACTTGGAGAAGCTGTCATCCTCTGAAGTAAAATAGTTTTTAGAAGAGCTCTGATCTGTCTCAGCAACAGGATTCAAAGGATACTGCCTCTTTTCAACTAAAGTGAACCATCATGAAAAGGACATAATCTTAGATCATGAAATACTGAATAAGGATGAAAAATATTCTGTTAAACTTAACATCCCAATAAAAGCATTGAATAGACAGTTGGATATGGCAAAATATTGAATTAGTGAATTAATTTAAGGAAGCAGAAAACAAGGAGATGTTTAAAAAAATGAGAGGCCAGTTAAGAAAATATGGAGAACAGACCTGGGATACAATTTAGAGCTAATAAGAATCTCTGAAAGACAACAAGATTAATTAGGGACAGAAGTAATCACCAAGAACTATTAGAGGACAGCCTTTCTGATCTAAACAAGACCTCTATCTGAAAATTCAGTGAATCTGCAACCTCCATGATATGGCCCTACTTGTATCTTCCCTCTCCACACTCACCTCTGTCCCTTTTGAAGCCTAAGTCTCAGATGCAAGACTTCCACTCTCTTTGGTGTTTGAAGCCTCAGTGGTAATCTTTAGGTACACTCCCATCACAGACATAAACATGCAGGACAAGGTTCGGTTTGGAATCTAACTTCCAGGTTTGATCTAAGCAACAAGCACTTGGTTTGTTGAAGTGGGAGTGGAAATTGAGTTATTGGGGGGTCAGGAACTGGGTGGACAGGCAGCGTCTGCCTTTCTCTTTCTGTCTCTCTGTCTCACTCCCCCTTTTCTTCCTAACTGTCTTGAGTTTCCATTCTCTTACTCTGTCTTTCCTCTTCTATTTTCTGTGTCATGCTTTATCTCCTCTTGAGCTGACCATGACTAAAAAAATGTATTTTATAGTTTACTGTATTTTAGGTTTAGGAGGTAGATTCTTTTTGAAAATATAAAAGTAACTGAGGCTTGTCAGCTTTTTGTGTGCCTCTGAATTGATTTTCCCCTCTGGCCTTTGGTAGAAGAAAGATTCTCCCTGTGAGACCAGCACCGTGTATTCCCGGGAAAATAGGACAGCTGAACAAATCTGGAAAAGGTTTGTGAGGAGAGCTATATGCGGAGGGGAGGCAGCAAGGAGGTAAACTGCTGCTTGCAGCTAAACCTTCAGACTGGACTGATGGGAGGGGCTTATGGAAGGAAAGGCACAGATACCTCACGGGCGGCTAGGTGGCGCTAGAGAGCTGAGTGAAATGGCTGACGTTACTGAAGAGGCAAGTGGACCAAAGAGCACTCTACACAGGCCCTCAGGAAATGCCTAAGTGTTTATGCCAAACACTGAAGTCATCACCAGCAATGAGCTAGCCTGTACTTATGTGACCTGAACGTGACCCATCCTTACACACATCTCCCCCCTCCATCCCTCTGGCTCTGAGAGGCAGGTGAGTCCTGAGATAGGACATTGTTTTTTCATCTGAATCCCTGAAGTGTTTCATCTGCTCCTGAATGAAGGTATTTAGGAATTTCTACACTGCCTTATCATTATTTGTATACATCCCAGCGCCCCTACTAAATGGATGAACTTTGTAAAAGAAAACTTCCTTCATTTACTCATGTATCTGTCCATCCACTTATTAGCTGCAGGAAACATGTAGCTAAACACATGGGGCCCGACCTCTGAGTCTAGTAGGAGCAGATGTGAAAGGATTTATAATACATGTGTTAGGTGTTTGAGGAAGGCATGTTACATAATGCTGAGTAAGGGGTGCCTCAGTCTGGGAACTCAGTGATACCTTCTCAGAATTGGGGGGTGTTTGGGCCCAGTCTTAAAGGAGGAGTAACAGTTCACTGAGCAGACTGGGGAAGGACAGCGGGTGGCATTTTAGAGGGGGGACATCATGCCCAGGGGCAGAGGTACATGAGAGAGAAAAGGGTATGTTTGGAGCACCATAACACTTCTGCACTTTGCACTTAAAAAAAAAAGTGTTTATTCATTTTTGAGAAAGAGAGCACGAGTAGGAGAGGGGCAGAGAGAGAGGGGGACAGAGGATCCAAAGCAGGCTCTGTGCTGACGGTAGGGTGCCCGATGCAGGGCTCAAACTCATGAGCCATGAGATCATGTCCTGAGCTGAAGTCAGACACTTAGCCGACGGAGCCACCCAGGTGCCCCTGTACCTTGCACTTTTTGAAGCACAAACTGAAACAAGGGGAGAGTAGAGGAGGTGAGAGAGGCACATGGGGTGAGCTTCTGAAGGCCCTGGTTTGCCTATTAGAAATTGAGAGTTAATCCCAATTCCTAATGTTTTAGTTTCCTATTGCTGCTGTAACAAATTACTACAAATCTAGTAGCTTAAAGCAATATAAAGTTATTATCTTAATAACCCTGGAGGTTAGAAATCTGAAACGGGTCATATTTGACTAAAATCAAGATGTCAATAGGTGTGTGTTCCTTCTGGAAGGTCTAGGGGAGAATCTGTTTCCATGCCTTTTCCAGCTTCTAGAGGCTGCCTTCATTCTTTGACTCGTGTCTTCTTCTTCCATCTTTAGAGCCAGCAGTGTGGTGTCTTCAAATCTCTCTCTTTCTGACCTCTGCTTCTATGGTCACATCTCTTATTCATACTCTCCTACCTTCCTCTTAGAGGGTCTCTGGTGATTACATTGGCCTTGCCCAGATAATCCAGAATAATCTTCCCTTTTCAAAAACCTTAACTCAATCACATTTACCAAATCCCTTTTGCTGTGTACAGTAACATATTCACACGTTCCATAGATTAGGAGGGGAACATCTTTGGGGAAGCATTATTCAGCCTACCATACCCACATAGCCCAGAGGCTGAGAAAACAAGAAAATGCTTGTCCTACTAGAGGAAGTGCCATGGAGAGGTCCTGAAATTGTGACCTGAGGGCCATTTGTAGCCATATTCCAGAAAGCCAGAAGGGTCAAGTCCTAACGACCAGGATCTCCACAGAAGAGAGGAGGATTTAGTCAAGGGGCACCCTGGCCCCACCCAGCCAGCTTAGTGTGAGACAGACCAGAAGCCCTGGAGGTGCCCTTACACCAATGTTGAGCAATTCTTCCAGCAGCCCTGCAGAGAGGAGGTGGTACGGGACAGAAAGGAAAAGCTATACTTAGCTATACTGCTAAGAAAACAAGGGGGGCCCGAGAAGGAACAGAGATACTTGCAGCACTGCTAGGGTGAGTGCTGGGAGAATAACACTGGAGGTCGGCTCTATCCACTCAAGACCATAGAGTCACCCTGTGGTGCCAGGCTCCAATAACTCCTGAGTATCAAGGTTAACTGACAGAACCCTGGGGAAGGGGACTTTGAGAGGGCATATAAGGGGAGGGTCCTAGCCTGACCCAGCACATATCACACAGACCCCTGATACCGTGAAGGACTCATGCTGAATCAACAGAGAATCCAAGACTTGGGTGAGAATGTATTGTAGTTGATGGCAGAATTTTAAATCCTTTCAGCTTTACCACATTTGGGTTACACTCCATAGGCAGAGCTTAATAAATGTCTGGTGAGGTAGCAAATAAATTCCAGGATCCCTGCGAGGCTACCCACAGACCCCTCAGCATCATTTCTAGAGCTAGGGTACCAAAGTGCCCAGTGTACATCACCAGGACTCTCCATTAGGAGAATTCCTTAAGGGAGAAAGAGAAGCGTTGAGCACTGTGGTCTCCCCTGGCCTTCCTGTTACCGGCATTTGCCACATGGCAACAGTATCCCAAAGGCCCTAGACAGTGCCCCTGTTTGTGAATGTTCTCTACTCCCTTCCATCCCTATTAAATTAGACCAGCCCAGGCTTCCAGATCGTTTCTCAAAACCAGTTTCTTCTGAAAAACTTTCCCTAGAAGCCCCACGTTAACAGTCTCTGTCTTCATCAGCTGTGCTTGAGGACATGCGGTGTGGCACGGTGCCCTGCTTACAGCTGTGGCTGGGCTGCTAACTAGCTGGAGGGCCTTGAGAGGTCATACTCCTTCTGAGTCTTTCCTCATGTGTCAAGTAAAAAGGACAGTCAGATCTCAGACCTAATGTTCTATCATTTCTATGGATTTTTATTGACATTTGTGGTTTTCTATCTGGATGAGACTTGATTATTGACTTGGGTTAGAAGTCTTCCGGCAGGAGCAGTAAGTACACCATTATTACTCCAAAAATGAGAATAATTAAGAACAGTACTTAGCACCAAAAGCAGTTTCATTTGAAACATATAATGTTTAGACTGCTTAACCCTATTAGAGCTCCTAAATTCTGGCTTGAGAATATGGCTCTAGAAGTATATTTCAACTCTGGTTTGCCTTGACCAATCCACTAACAGGCAGGTAGATGGGGCAAGCTGAGATTATTCAATTTTATCTACTTGTCAGCTTCTTTCTTTGGCATTTTTTAAACCAATAATGACCTCAACATTCTCTATACTTTCTGTCATTACCGTTTATGAACTTGCCAGAGTAAAGTACATTTTGAGGAGAGAATAGTTTACACATATGTACATATCTGTGACACTGTAATTCCTTGATATTTTTTAAAAAGAGTGAGAGAATGTGTTTCTGGGAGTGTAACTAAATAAATAACATGTGTTCTTTTATTTAACAGCTGAAACAGTGGAAGGCATTTGAAGAGGAAAACCAAACAATCAGACGCATGGCCAAATATTTCAGCACTCCCAGCAAAAGCTTCCATATGCAGTATGGTGAGGAGCAGAATTGCCACACTAGAGGAGAGAAGAACTCCATGGACAGACTCCTCACAGAAGTAAGCTAGACCTCTGCCTGGTGGATTCTCTGTCAGGAAGAACTCCAGTCATGCAGTGGTGGGCCCCAGAGGTCTCATTGCTAACATTCTTTCTTAGCCCTCCGTTCCCCCACTTCCTAGCCACGTCCACTTCCCTCAGCCCCAGGCAAAAAAAAAAACCAGAAAACAAAAAACAGCATTTCCCCAGGGACCCACCCATTGCAGACACTCAGCTTACCCACTACATTCATTCATCGGCCTAGTGTGTGCCAGGCATTGTGCAAAGTGCCGATGAACTAAACAAATATAGTCCCTACCCTCATGGATCTCAGTCTATTGGAGGAAGTCAATGTTGATCAAGTAAATGTATAATTATAAATTGTGATAAGAATTATGAAGGAAGAAATAAGAGTGGTAAGACAGAATAATGGGTAGTGAGGGTAAGGGAACCTAATTAACATGTTCAGAAAAGACGCTCTTAGCGGAGAGCTGAAGGTTAAGTACAGGTGCAGGGAAAAACATTCCAAGCAGGGGAACAGTGTTGTAAAGGCCATGAGTCGTAGTGGATCCTACCTTTTTCTGTATGACACATTCTCTCTTAGAGTAGTGCCCTCATTTCCAAGATCTTATGAGGCCCATTACTGTCCTTTCCAGGTTTGAACTAGAGATTGCAATCATTTTACCAACCCAGAAAGTCAATCAGTGTCTAAAAATGGGGTAGAGGGCTTATTTGTTTATTTATTTATTTGCTCAAGATTTTATTTTTAAGTAATCTCTACACCCAATGTGAGGCTTGAACTCACAACCCTGAGATCAAGAGTTGCAGGGACAGAGAACTTAATGGGGCCTCTAAATATCATAGTAGCACCAAGGGAGGACTGGGCAAACCCAAGCCCTTTTTCCTTCTGTTCTTGAGCCAGGCTTGGCACCTCTCCCAGAATCGGGCAGTGTAATGTGTGCTTGAAGAAAGCACCTGGAAAAGCTTGAGGCTGCACTGCCCCGGAAAGGAGACACAGGACCCAGAGGAATTAGTTTTTTGCTCTAACAAAATTATATTTCATATTATTTTCAGTACAGAACATACCTGAGTAGGTGCTGTGTGGGAAACCACACTTGTTTGTAACTGGACTGACACCTGGGTCTCAGCTGTCCATGCATGAGAGGATGATGTGATGGGGACCCAAGAAACACAACCAGGGAAGGGATTAATGTCCGCCAGCACCTGCTGCCTGTGCTTCTCTGTTCCCTCCCTCCACACTCTTGGTTTGGAGCTTTTCAATCCATCAGAGTAATACCTCTCCATATTTTTACTATTTATGAGGTATTCAGGACTTTATTTCAAAGCCAGATTTCTTCCTACCTGGCAAGGGAGTAGCATTGCCTTTGATACTCTGCGAGGTCTTCAAAGAAGCATTTTTTGTCCAGCTAAACAGAAGGCTAGAAACTTGGCGAGAACATCCAGGATGGTTTTTATTCACAATCAGCTAATGTTGGAACAGCCAAGTGGCCTGACTCTTTAGCCTTATGGTAATTTGTGACGTGCTTTTTGTATTTCTGCCACACTACCCTGTTTCCCACGCAGTAACTGAATCTGCTCTTTCCAAAAAGATGTCTTGAGTCTGCGGAGGGAGGGCCCTAATAGAAAGCAGATGCAGAGGCAGTAAAAATCCTGGCCTCCCCCCCTCAGTGCACTACACCTGGAACATCTTTCCCAGAACAGGCCTGAGAACAAGCATCCTGTCCCCAGGCCTCTTCACAAGCCCAGAGAGCTTCCAGTATCTGAATCTCCAGTTCCAGCACTGCCTGGTCGATAAACACAAGTATCCCTCCCGCCTCCATATGTGCACAGACGCCTACTCCATGCTCCTTGGTTGCAGGTCCCTCTTACGCAGCCCCATCTGTCGCCTTGTGTCCTCCTCTTACTTTCCTACAATCTTCTCACTCTTGCCCCCCTTGACTGTATGGCTAGAGGTCCCCCAGAGGCTGTTTGAGCAGCATGCATCACTGACTTGCCAGGCTGTGGAAAGACCAGCAGACAGAACCTTCTCGGAGGCTGAAGGACCTCCCTTCTACACACTACAGCAGAGGAAATTCACCTACTAGTTTACTTCCTTGAACCATAGAAACAAGAGTGTGACTCCATTTCTCCTTACGGCCTGCACCCTATGGAACACACCTGTGGATGTTTTGCTTCCCCAGATATGCCAAAAGCAATAATTAATAAGTTCATTTAAATGTAGCTGCCATGGTAGGTCAGATTTTGGTCTCACAGTGGCAGTGCCTCACACCATGCCTTTAATTAGTATGCAGCCGTGGAGAAGACAGAGCCCCACTTCCTTTTCTGGAACAAGGGAAATTTACTGTTTAGGCTGACGTTTCTAAATCTGTCACCAGCCAGCTTCAGATGTTTGGTTTGCTGGGAGAAAAGTATTCCTCCCAACTCAATGTTTACCCTGTTTTTCTACACTCAAAGAAATTTATGGATAAGGCACAAAAAGTCAGCATTCAGAGTTTACTTGCTGGGGTAGCTGTCATCAGCTGGTGGCTTCCCCCTACCTGTGGGGGAGTAGAGACCTCCTGAAGGTAGTATGAGAATGTGCCTGGTGGGCTTCAGGGGGAGGGGATGGTGAGGAGGAAGAGGGTTGGGGTCCCTTCTGTGCAGCCAGCTTAGTCACACCTGTGAGATCCTCAGAGAGATTTCTGGCACCACCCAGATATCATGAAGAGCCTGAATGAATGTCGCCTCGTTACTCATCTACTCCACTCCTGGTGAGTCCTTGAGTCATCTACTTGCCCAGCTACACCCCTGCCTTACCACTCTGCAGGTGAGCACAGGGAGGATGGGAAGGCAGGCACTCAGCTGCGAATCCTTTCTGCTTATTCACCAGTTACTCACTGATCCTGGACTCTCTCCGGATGATAAAAGAAGTAGACTAACCCAGGATGAAACTGGAGTACGAATATTCGGCAAATCACCCTCCTGCTTATAAGTAGGGAACAGGAGGTCTGCTCGGAGTTGCTGCCAGAGGGCTGTTGCTGGACTCGTTTACTTAAGTTGCTTCTCCCTTAAAGGGTCACTTCTGGGCAACTCTCCCATATCAACTTGAGGAAAAAACCACCAGTTCAGTCCATAGGCAACTTGTTTCAGGGAGCCTAAAGAAAATAAGTATTCTTCTATTTGTAGGGCGTAGTATATGGACGTCCAGATGCTCACCCTCAGCTTTTAAAGAAGATAGCAATAAAGAGGCAGTATTTTGGTATTTGGACAAACACTTCCTAGAATTCAGTGTTTGTGTTATTACCCCCCAAACCCTTGACCATCATCTGCCCCATCAGCTCTCTTTTGTGCTCTGCTACCTTTGAACGTCAGAAATTTCATCAGGTGGACATAGGTCTGAGCTAGACGATCACCTGCTGTACCACCAGAGGATGCTCGGGGCACACCCTCCACCACCCCTCCCTCCCACTTCACGGCCCCTGATCTTGCCGCTAGAACGGGCACGCCTCTGCAGCTCTCAACTGCCAGCTCTCCTGGGAATAGCCTGTTGACCAACTAACAGCCATGCAGCAGGTAGGCAGCTCAGCAGTGGAACCGCCCCAGTCTGATTCATCTTCTGGGCTCCATTCTAGATCTACTAAATCAAGCTGTCAGGGATCTGGTCCCAACTATTCTCTTTAAACAACACATAACAAAATAAAAAGCTTCTTTAATAATTCTGGTGCCTGCACTTCTTTAGCAGATACAGACAGCTGATGGTGCCACATGGTAGCTTTGGCTCCCACCCCCAAGGTCCAGCCAAAGGAGGTGATAACACCATCCTGAGATTCTTGTAGCACACCCCCCTCCAACTCTAGTCTTCTCTCTTTGGTTCAGGATTCTCCACGCTTCTCTCTGTTCTTCCAGTTTTCTAGTCTGTTTAGCAAGAGGCAAAATACTTATTTCCTCATTCATTCATCCCCTTGAGATACGCCTGAAATTTGTCTGTGTTATATGAAAGTGTGACAAACCTAGAGTTGGGCCATCTCAAACATTATTCAGACTGGTGTTTTGCAGGTTGACCTGACCCCCTGAGCTCTGAGGAAAGGGGAGAGGGTGCTGCAGCAGCCAACAAAAAGCTAATGCTATGCCTCCTCCGACCTCTTCCCACAGACGATGCCACATTTATTGAGCACCATTTGTCAGTTATTGTGCTAAGCACTTCACTCACATCAACTCATTTCACCTCATGGAGCTACCTCCTCAGAGCCTAAGATCACAAGCCAATACACAGAGGAACTGGGATTTAAAGCAAGGTTCTGATACCACTCTTTTGCCGCCGTGGAAAACAGTGTAAAAACCCTCAGAGGCATCCTTTATTGATGGTTTTGCTTTTATTTTACAGAAAAATGCTATGATTGAAAGCCTGCAGGAACAAGTAAACAACGCCAAAGAGAAGCTAGTGAGGCTGATGTCGGCTGAGTGTACCTTCGACCCCCCAGAGTGGGCCGTCCCTCCCACCTCTTCCCACAGCAAGAACAGCCTGACTGCAGCCTCTGCCCACAGCCTGGTAGCTCAAGGGCCTTTGGAATGCCTCTCTGACTCTCAGAATGATACCAGTATAGTTGCCCAGGACTCCCAGAGCACCTCAGTGCCCTCTTCAAGTGTACAAAGCCTGGAGGGGGCTGTGAAAGACACCAGCTCCTCCTCAGGGCAGAAGGAAAAAATTTCTAACTTCAAAGACTTTTCTGGTCATTTAAATTTGGGCTGCAGCCAGAAGCCACAGCCTGAACAAAGCCGAGGTGCAGAAAGAAGAGACCAAGTACCCATGAACCCCCACCAGAGTGTCATACCAGGTGGAGAAGGCCCTGTTCCCCAGAGACAAGGGCAGCTGGAGAACTCAGAGGAGCCCCAAAAGCGGCTGTCAAGGGTCAATTCAGTGATCAGGGAGAAGCTTCGGGAAGTCCTGCAAGATCTGGGCCTGGGCCCTGAGGCTCCTCTCCCCTCTTCCCCATCTTATACACAGCAGCCCTGGAAGAACCCCCAGAAGATTCCCCTCTCCAAGGAGCTGGGCTTCAGCCCGTACATGGTGAGGAGAAGGCGGGCAGCACTGCGGGCTCGCTCACACTTTCCAGGCTCTATACCCTCATATGTGGGGCATCGGGCAAATAGGACTGTATCTGGGGCACGTGGTGGGCTAAATGTGCAGAATAGGGACAGTCTCTGCCTGGATCCCCAAACTGCTGGTTCCAGGGCACCAAAACCCTCTTCCAGGAAGCTTTCACTATTCCCAGATCCACAAGGCAAGCCGGGCACCCTGGAGGGCAGCAAACAAAGCCAGACAGAGCCCCAGGGTACCAGAGGGAGCCAGGCAGCCTTTGCTCACCAGCCTTCTGGCTCTGACCAAGCACAGCGTCCTGCCGCCCCACACCTATCCAGAGCTTCACCAGACGTGCCTGAGCAGCGGCAGCTGCTGTCCCTGGGATTCCCAGACCGTCCATCCATGTCTTCTCCGTGCAACTACCTTGACACTGAGTCCAGCAGTTCAGATGAGTTCTTCTGCCACTGCCACCGGCCCTACTGTGAAATCTGCTTCCAGAGCTCCTCTGATTCCAGTGACAGTGGCTCATCAGACAGTGACCCTGACCCTGCTGGGGGGCTGGCTTCCTGGGAAAAGCTGTGGGCCCACTCAAAGCCTATCGTGAACTTCAAAGAGGACTTGAAACCCACACTGGTGTGAAAAGCAGCGGAGTGGGTGTGGATATAGAGGTTGGTCCAGGACAAGCCATACCAACGCCTGTAGGAGGAAGGCCAGTTCTGGCCTTTAGGGAACAGACCAGTGCCCTGAACTGATCAAGCTTTTACCATGTTTCAGCTATGCTCACTTGAGTACTGTGTTACCTTCAGCACTTCTTGATCTATAAAATGAGGGGGGTTGCCTATCTTGTTACTACCTCACAGCATTCCTATAAAAGACTCCAGTGACCGTAAAAGATAACTTCTCGATAAAAGGTGCTAAGTGAGAACAGAGGGTTTTCTGTCCTGGTCAGCCTGTATTCTACAAAACTCTTAATGTATACTAGGTGGGTCACTATATGGACTATACAGATGGAAACATGGAAGGAAAATTTCTGCAGAACCAGCGTTGTAGACAGCGACCAATCAAACTGGCCTTCTGATGGACAGGCCTGCTAAGAAGATAGGTCTCTTACATTCTTGGGTGCCCACTCTTGGCAGGGGATGGTTTTACTTCTGCTGAAGCTTGTGAACACCACCACCCTAATTTCCAGCTTCTGGCCAGCCTCGGCTCAGAGCCACCTTTACACCACTATTTAGTGTACATGTGTTTCCACCATTATGGCATCTCACCATCATCCCTGAGACTGTCAGGTCTCCATGTGCCCATAGGCTACCCAGATCTCACTCCTGACCTCGGATAACACCAGAGGCCCAGACTGTCTCCTGGTCCCTGTGGCCCTTCCCTTTGACTCTACCAGGGGTACAGTTTTGTACTGGGGGTGTAGGATCACACAATGATGGTTTCTGATGGGGTAGGAGAGGTCCTATTTGTCAAGAGGTATTTTGGGGGCCATTGGAATTACATGACCACCAACAGCTACATAAACCTGGAAATAGAAGATGGGAAAATACAAAGGAAGAAATGGGGGAGAGGCAGGAATGAAAATAGGCTTTGAATATTTAACTTGAGTCTGGCATGGTCCTCAGCAATATAAAATTTCAGTAATTCCTTATGATATCCCTGTGCAGTAGGTGCTCTTGTTCCCATTTTACAGATGGGGAATTTGCAGCTTAGAGAGCTGAGGTCACTTCCCCAGACATCACACTGCTAGAGAGTGGCTCGTGCGTGACTTGCCCTCAGTTCATGGGACTCCAGGTTGGTAGATTTCCCTGAGGACACATCTCTTCACTCATTCTCCTGAGAGAGTCTGGCAGCGCTTGGCAGGCCAGACAATAAAGCAAGGGTAGTGTAGGGAAGCTGAGAGATGCTCACCCTGCAGTTCCAGATCACAAAACTGGGTTCCTGGCCTCAGGTAGCAGCCCTCCACTTCTCACTGCCCCAGGGGCCCACCCGCATCTCCCAAGGGAGCCAGGGAGTTGGTGAAGAGTGAGTGCCAGGAACTTAACCACCACCAGTGCCACAGGGAAAGCACTGGTGGGTCCACTTTGCTTTAAGCGATTGTTGTTTACAGGCCGTCCCCTGCCCCCACCCACTGTGTGTCCGTCTTTGTGTATACACATTTGTGTGCAGGAGTTTGGGCCTCATTAGAAAAGCTTGGAGCAGGGGCACTTGGTTCCAAATCTCTCCCAGAAGATTTATCCTGAACGCTCAGGGCTGGCAACACCTCGGGAATCTCCAGACACTGGACTGGGAAGCCCTCCTGGTAGCACAGATTCCTCTATCGTTTACTTTTAAATACAAATGTCATAACTTATTCTGTGGGTGGGTTTGTAGCTTCCACCTGTGCTGTTTGTATGCTGTCCAAACAACCCCTTAATAAATAAGAAATGTCTCCCCAAACAAGTCTCTAGAAATTATAGTCCCGTGCTGCAGAGGAGAGGAACAGAGAAGCCTCTGTGAACCACCAAGGGAGTGGACACAAAGCAGCCACCAGAGTTGCCACTGGCTCAGCCCAGGTTCCAAGTAGATCTTCTGCCAAACTCACATTTGTAACAGATTCTTCTGTGGTCTCCCTGTGCAGCTTTCTATCCCAGAAACACCTGCCCCAGTGGAGAGAGAAAACTCTGGAGACCCTTGACTCTTCCCCCCCCATGGTGGCGGGTCCTGTGGTTGGGCTTTAGCTTCTTTCATTCTAGTATGTCACCTCTAGAAGTCTATCACTCACTTACGTGGACTATGCATGCTCTAAACCTGGCAATCCCTCTAGCCTTCTCACTCTCTCTGCGACTATACCGTCAGTCCCATCACTTGGCACTTCCACACCTCCATCCCTCTTCTATCTAGAATTTCTTTCTCCACTTTGTGCACCTTGTGAATTATTCATCTTTCAAGACTCAGGTAGAGTCTTGAGCACCCCCAAATGGAATGAACTGATCCCCTAGTTAAAGGATATTTTGGGGTCCATATTTTGAACTCCACTATATAGAAACTTCTATTATCCATTTTACCTAGAATGATTTTGTACCCTTTGATAGACTTGATTGAAGAGATGGAGAATCTACCCTGAATTTTCCTTTTTTGTCATTTGGTTTAAAAACTATGTGCCAAATATCATGACAGCCCCCAGATACTGTCTCCAAATCTATTGTTTACTCTGTGTACCCACCCCCACTCTTCACCAGCTCCTTTCCTAAATCTTTTACCCCAAACCAGATAATCCAGTGACAAAATTCTTAAAAGGATGAGTGTGTCATGACTTTTGGATGCTCTTGACTGTTAGGCTCTTGAGGAAAGGGCAGTAACTTGTGCAAAGGAATCCTGGAGAAGGAAATGTTGCTTCTGCTACTATGCTCTGGATTAGTAGAGATTAGTAGATTATATAATTTTATAATATAATTATATATAATTAGTAGATTATATCTATTGGTTTTAAGGTCTGGCATGGAGCCAGACCTGATTCTGACCCAGGCATATGTTGTTCTGCTGGTTGAAATCTTGGGGTTGGAGGTGTCCATCCTGATTCCAAAGTCTATTCCTGTCTCTTGGCCTGTGACAAACTCTTTCCTTAAAGGATCAACTTGGCCTTCCTGGAGCTCATAGCAGAGAAAAAAGCATCAGAATGTAGGAGGCTTGTTTTTAAAGAACCATATCATTTCTAAAATGGTAAAGAGAAAAGTCAATGTAAGTTCCACAAAATCTCTTCTGTGTCTGTATTTATTTTATTATGTTTAAATGTGTCTCCTCCACAGATTGTAAGTTCCTGAAAGCACTGAGTGTGCCTTCTGCATCTTTGTGTCCTCCAGAGTAGCCATCTGAGAGCTTTGCATAAAGTATAAGCACAATAAATGTTTGATGGATGGATTTCTGGACAGATAAGCAGATGAAACAAAGGAAGGCAAGGAAACAAAGGAAGGCAAAGAACCAGTTCTGCAAAGCAGCAGAAAGGGAGGCAGAGCCATCTGGTTTCACTGCCTTCCAATGAATTGAAAGCAAGAAGCAAAATCACTAAAAGACCCAGAAATAACTGAACTCTGAAAATGACAGTACTTTAAGTCTCTTAGGGAGAAGGGGGATAGAATGATAGTTAATGAAAGAGAAGCAAGAAAGTTATTGTGATTAAGGTCTTCTCTTTAAAGATGCTTTCTTTACAGGCGTGTAACTGGGTAACAACCAGCATTAAGTAGGAGGACAGTCTGTTCATCTTTCTCACCATCAGCTTCCTTAGTCCCCTTTCTCAGAGCCCCAAACAAAGCACTTTCTCTGTACCCTCTGGCTGCTACACTTTTCCCAGTAACACCATCTGGGCTTTGTCAAGGGAGTAGGGTTCTAGTGCAGGGAGGGCATTTTGGGGCCAAAGGCAGGAGGCAGGTTGCCCAGACTCTGCTCTTCCTCACCTCTGGTACCTACTCTGATCTTTTTCTCCCTGAAATGCTCCTCATGTTAGCAATGCCAGCCACAATGAATTGGAACCAGGGAGCATCTTGGGATGTTCATTTCACTATCGAGGTCACAAGGAGGCAGGAAATTCTGGTGTAACGAGGCAAAATAACCTGTTATGAATTTGACAAGATCTGGGTCAGTGTTTCCCAACCCATTCTTTGACTTACCTTTGGATGTCTAAAAATACTAACAAGACAGGTAGGCTCAGAGAAAAAGTGCTTGGGATAGGCCCTGGAAAAAGGTCTGCATATAACTAAGAGAAAAGCAAAACGATAGGAAAAAAGAAGGGAAGAAGGACAAGAAGTTAAAAGAAGAGGGAGAGACCAGGGAGATGTGGTGAAGGAGGGAGAAAGACAAAGAACAAATGGTACCCTGCTTAGCTTTGTCAGTGGACAGATTGTGGCACTTGCCTCGCTTGTAATTCAGTGTGCTGGCTCCAGTTCTGAGTTAGAGAAAGTGAGGCTCACTTCTGTGAAGAAAGGCAGGGACACCCATGCAGATACCTTTCTTTTGGATGTATGTGACCATTGGTTCACTTCTCCACTTTCCCCCCTAGACTGTGAACCTCTCGAGCCTACAACTTGTTTATAATTATCTTGGTGTCCCCAGCACCTAGCACTATGCCTGGTGACCTAGCACTGTGCCTGGTGCATGGTTGATGCTCAGCAGATCTTTGTCAAAAGAAAGGAAGCAAGAAAAGAAGAGCAGCTTAACAGGAGCTGCCTCGAGGAGGACCCCAGTGAGGCTGCTCACAAGATCTGAGGTCACCTGGGAAGTGAGGCTTAGGTGTCTCATCATGGATGACAGTGTTGTCACCTAAGTTTAAAGTCCTTATTATAATACCCAAAACCTTTGTCAAAAGAAGGCATTTTAGATGGGCTCTCTTCACTAATTTTTGTAGAATAGTTTTTCCCCACTGCAATGCCAGGGCTTAAAGTCATCCATGTGCCTGTGTGACTTTCTCGGCAAGTTGCATAACCTCTTTGTGGCTCAGTTCCCCCAACTGTAAACTGGGAAAATAACACCTACCTCATACAGTTGTTACGAGGGTTCAATGAATTAATACTTGTAAAGCAGCTGAACTATTCCTGGCACATAGTAAAACATTATATAAGCATGTGTCTTATAAGGCTGTTTGGGAAACACAGACTTACATTTAG